AATGCCACATCTGCATGGCCCCGACCCGGATACTCACCAGTACTCATTTAAAAGGGTGATGGAAATCTATCGCGAGAAAAATTACCAGCTGCTCTATCTCTTAAAGGAGAGTCACTTTCCTTCGAGCGGTCGTGACATGCAGCGCGTTCTCGACAGCTGGCCGCGCTAAGCGGCGGCTGGCTCTCTAGGTGACAGTCTGTCTTCATCAGCCGCTATTGTGACCGACGACATACGTCGTTGAGTCGGTTTCTCTCCCTCGAGCATGCAGCAATTGCGTGTTACACGGCTTCAGCGTTGCTTGGCCGAGGTTGGGCTCAAACCGAGTGGGCGGGCAGGTCCTCGCCACCACGTCGATGCAACCCCCGTTCGGTGCTGGCCACGCTTGCCAATGAGCTTGGGACTTGGGTCTGGATGCCCTGGTTGTGACGGAACAAGTGGGGTTAGGCGGTTCTTCTCTGTCTGTGATCACTTCCCCCCTGTGGAAGCCGTTGCAACCGACGACATACGTCGTTGAGGTTATTTCCACCCTCCATGCCACCCCTGCTCTCGATACCAAGTTGGTGCACCATCACCTGAACTCTGACCTGGGCTCTGGTGTGCACGTTCGAAACGGGCTACCTCGGGGCTGCTGAGGCTCGTTGCTTGGGCCACGGCTTGCGTGGCCCTGGCCGGCGGGATGGTCGCCTCGGCGGACATCGAGCCGTCGTTGTCACGCTCGCCTGGGCCCTACGCGTGGGTGATGTGCCTCTCTGATGGTCCTCGAGACGTTGCCCGTGGGGGTCGCTACCAGGCCGTCATCCCTGAGGGCGCTGGGAAAGGCACGGCTAGGCTATTGTTTTGGGGCTTGGAGGTCGCCCCATTCCGTGCTGCGGACAGTGACGCACCGCAACTCCTGCTCCTGCCGGTTTGAATCCACGCGCCTTCAGCCACATGCGTGCCTGCGCCCCTTTGCTTCGCCGCCTGCCTGCGACATACGTCGCTAGCCCCTTCACCTGTCCTCGTGGTTGTTCCCACCTCCGCATGGTGTCTTCACATGCTGCCGTGGCCGCCACCTCGGTTTGCCGCTGCTGTGGAAGCGTGTGATCTGCACGTCAATGCTCGCCTTGGCGATCCCTGCTTATCTTTGCAGCGGGCTTGGTGTTCCAGCTCACGGCTAGGCACAGTGAGTTGATTCTGCTGGCGGCGGCCGAATGCGCGCTAGCGTGCCGTGGTCGAGCAACTTTGTCACTGGCAGGACGCCGGCATTATGACCGTGAGGGTGTGGGTCACGCACGTTGCCAGTGTCGCATCAGGGCGGCGCCTAGGCGCTTGGCACACCGAGGGTCGATTGGGTTTGTCCCCTTAGGGTGTGTGTCCAATGACGCCGGTTTCGGGTGCGGGTAGCTTGCCTGCGACACTGGTCATCGCACTCCTTATCTGGAAGCCGCCTAGTGGGCCTTGGACTTTTGGATTTTGGTTGGTGTGCACGATCGTGACGGAACAAAACACAGGGGTTGTCCGTTGTCTGGCGAGACTAGAACGGCAGCCGGGGCCTGGTCTTGGCTCCACCTGTTGTTTTGGGCAGCTCTGAGCGACGGCTCTTTGTTGCTCCTGACCGGTCGCTGAGGCTCCGTAGTTTGTGCTGAACGGCTAACACCGGCAAAGCCTGTGCGCCGCAGCCCTTTGTAGAGCTTCGCTTTGCTGTTTCACCGCTTTGTTGTAGTTTGTTGCTTGATTGTAGTTTCGCTTGTTTGTAGGGACCGAGTGCTACAGCCGTAGTCGACGAGGCGCAGTCAAGCCAAAAAAAAAATTCTTGTGCTGTACTTGTGGTTCTCGTCCAGCCAAATCTTTTCTGTGACTCTGTGTTTCTTGTAGATCTTGCTGTTCTTGGTGAACTCTTTCTTATTGCTGTCGTCGTTGGAATACGGAAAGAGATTCCCTTCCTTCTTCTTCTCTTGAAGCTTTTTCTTGCTGGCATTAATCTCTCTGATCTTCCTTTTCCTTTCTTCTTCCTTTGCTTTCTCGTCTTCCTCTGCTTTTACTTCTCCTTCTTCTGCTCTGCTCTTCTTATTCTTTTTCTTTCCTTTGCTTCCCCTTCTTTGTTTCTTGCCTCCACTACCGTGATTTCCAACGTAGCTTTGCGTGTAGCGCTTGTTCTCGTTCTTGCCGTTGTTCTCTTCTTCCTGGTCTCTCTCCAAGAAAACTGCACAAGTCTTTCAGAAAACCCAAGGAAGTCTGGCACTGCAACTCTCGCAGGATCAGTAATGTCTCCCAAGAAGTCTCCTGTGCGGTCGCCGATACCCTGGCGAGATGAGGCATTCACATGAACCTGGCTGTCACTCGCGTCGAGCCCGATGCGGTTACTCAGGGGTCCATGGCCATCTACATCCGCCCGCTTGCGCCGCGAGAAGGCGAGCACCCCTGGACTGTATATGTGAGTCAAGACTTAGCCGACGAAGGTTCGGCAGCAGAGGAGCCTGACGATGGTGCTGGACTTGTTCATGCTGCTCCAGTGAGTGGGCTGGCCGCCACTGGCTGGGGACCCAGGGCGAGCTGTGGGGAGTGCTCACGCTATCACTTGCTCCCGCCGCGGCTGACATACGTCATCTGCTTATTTTACAATTGAGTGTCGTCATGTTGCTTATGCTGCGAGGTGGGGCGGCAGAGTTTATACCTCCGCCTGCATCCTGTGCGACTGCCATGATTAACCCGCCAGGTGATGCTCTCGGCAGGCCTTGGAGATGACTAGCCCCTTCTGCACCGGGTAGTGGCAGTTGCTGCTCGATCCCCTCGGACCGTAGGTGGACGCCGACGGTGGCCATCTCAGGGAGGTGCCGCCGTTGCTCGGTCCGCCCTCGGCGAGTGGTGCTGTCAGGTCGTGGCCGCTCGAGCTATCTGGTGGTGGCTCTTCTCCCGCGTGCCCTACCTGACTGTCGCTGCCTGAGCCTTGCTTGCTGTGTTACGCCAGTCCAGCCAGCGTTGCGTCTCTGCCGCCTTCAGGCTAGGTGACAGGAGGTTAGCTTGCGACATACGTCGCTTGCCTTTTTCATCGCTGCATGACGGCACCTCCTGCATCGACGGTTGGGCGCACCGGACGTCGTGCCCTCGCTGTCAATCTTGCTGAGCTCCCTTTCGAGCCGGAGTCGGAAGGAGAGCCCACGGTTTATCATCGTGCTGGTCCCTGGTGGCCGCCTCACGGCCCCCCAGCGCCTGTACCAGTCAATGAGCCGCCCGGAGAGCGCATCTATAGGGAGTCAGTTGACATGTACAACCGTATGGTCTCCCAAGAAGTCTCCTGTGCGGTCGCCGATACCCTGGCGAGAAGAGGCATTCCCCAGAGGGCCCAAGAGTCCTTAAATGCATGCTCCTTAAAAATCAAAGTCCTTAAATAGCGTTCATGAGGCGAAAAATCACAATCCTTATTTAAAGCCGATTACAATCCTTATTTAAAGTCTGTTGTTTTCGTATGATTCGATGCATGTCGCGATTGCATGATCGAAGGAGTTCGATCTCGATCGAACTCCTATAATATATATATTGTATACATGCATATGAACGCGATGCATGCATATATATCGCAGGATCGAACTCCTATATATAAGGAGTTCGATCCTACACACTTTTGTTGTATAATATATACATGTACATTTTGTCTGTATGCATGCATGTTTTTTCGACACGTCGTTTGCATGCTGCTTGCTTTGTGCTGCATGATGCAATGTACATGCTAGCAGCCGCTTAAGCGATCGAGCATAGCTTAAATTCAACCATCGCGAAGCCATGCACCGGGATCGGTCGAGATCTCCTGTTGATGCTGCCCTCGAGTGGCGGTACAACTGGGAGAGTGACGGAGCATCGTGGTGGAAGAACTGGTGGCCATGCACGAAGGCCTGGATCCGCAAGAAGATCCGACAGGATCTGTTGCAAAGACCTGCAGAAGAGGAAGCAGCTGATGGTCAGCAGTCGCCGCGAAAGCGGAAAAGATCTGGGGATTGATCGAAGCGGCTTAATTAGAACATGCATGTCTTGCCCAGCTTGGGTCTCAATAAGTAGGATATCAGAGCAAGTGCCCGAAGAGACATGCGCCTCAGGTGCATGATCATGCTTGGCACAAAATAATGGCGATTCTATCCGCATGCATGCGTGCAGCCATGCAGTTTGCAGGGTTTGCTTGTCTTCCTTCGACCGCTGCCATGTGTCGCCGGGCCGGTTGGCTCAAGTTTTTGGACAGATCTGGTGGGCGGCCCGCTTTGCTGCAGGCCGGGCTGCCAGGATTCATGCATGGCATGGAGTGTCACAAGTTCTTAGGAGGCCACGTCTCCCAGTGGGAGGCGACCTCCTGCACGGCATGCATGTTCGCAGGATAAAGTGCAGACTTTTTCATGTACATGTGCTTGTGAAGTGCTTCTGAAGCATTTTGGCTCATGAGCACCATGATCACTAACCGAGCTGCCAACACGGCAACTGTTGAACAGGCTGCTAAAGCTTTGAGAGGCTGCTGCACAAGCCTGCACTCTGGGTATAAGGAAACAGACTGTGAGAAGATTTGCTCCTCGTACGAAGCTTTCATCTTGGACTTGTTAGACTTGACCCCGAGGCCCACGAAATTGTTGCTTGAAAAGGCTTGCCTCAAGGCTTTCGAGGCCACGGGTCCCAGTGAAGCTTCTTTTTTCGGCAGACAGCTAGCGGCAGCGGTCCAGTTTTGTAGAATCAAGGCGAAAAGCGTCTCGACAGGAGTTCGCACTCATGGTTCGGTGCTTCGCATCATACAAAAGATGGAAAAAAATAAGGCTGCAGAACAAAAGTTCCAATTGGGACATATATGGAAGGGTGCGAAGCCCACCGTAGCAGCAGTAGCCGCACACGCCGTGGCTGATGCCAGGCCCCGCAGTAGATCTCGAGCAGCAACCGCTGCTGCTGCTGCTGCTGCGGCCGAGCCTACTAGTGCCAAGCCTACTAGGGCAGTTTCCATCGGATCCGTGTCGTCCACCGGAAAACAGTCCGCTGCTGACATCTTCGCGATGTACGGCTTAACCGGCGAGCCCGAGAAGATGGAGCACATGGAGCCCGAGGAGATCGAGCAGATAAGCTCGAGTGAGGAGGTCCAGCCTCTTCCAAATGATCAGCCTGATGCTGCTGTGACGTTCTTCGATCAAAAAGCATGCACATGGAAGACAGTCGACAAGAGCGGCCAAATGCATGAGGAACCAGGCCATGCTCGCCCAGGTGTTCCAGACCGTGTGCTTCGACACCATGACGAGATCCTGGCCAGGCCTGTTGCAGCCCTTGAGCCCTTGTCTTCCCGAGGCCTCACCGAGACGGAGGACAAGGAGGCTGGCAAGAAGAAGAAGAAGAAGAACAACAAGAAGAAGGACACGGGCGACACGAAGCCTGAGGCCAAGTCGGCTCCGAAAGCCAAGGGCAAATCCAAGGCGAAGGCCAAAGCCAAGCCCAAGCAAAAGGCCGAGGCAGAGGTCAAGCATGGGGGCGGCGAGGTGGCGACGAAGACCGATCCGGAGCCTGATGAAGCTGAGGCCAAGTCGAGTTCCAAAGCCAAGGGCGGATCCAAGAAGGCCAAGTTTCGCAGTGCCGAGGACGATCCTGAGATTGGGGCCCTTCAGATTCTCAAGAAGCCAGCCGCTCTTCAGGCGGCGGAGGGTGAGATTCTCAAGAAGCCAGCCGCTCTTGAGGCGGCGGAGGCTGGAGATGAAAATGGAAATGGAAATGAAGAGGAGAAGGGGGGCCCGGAGATTCAGGACAAGCCCAATGGGTGGAAGAAGATGCTGTTCCAGAGGGGTGGCAAGCAGAAAGGGACCTACTTCATCCTGGTGTCGCCCCAGAACTCGCGATATCGCACCCGTCCCGCGGCAGCGGCTGCCGGCTACGTGTCGGAGTGATATTTAAATATTTAAAGGGTTTGAGCTAGGAAAAAGGTGCCATGCTTGACACGAGGGTTATCAGTGCATGCATGTTTGTTTCTGTCCTTCTGCTTCTGCTCTCATGTCAACATGTCAGTTCTGTATACATGTTTCGTCTCTGCAGGTACTGCCGTCGACGTCCTGGACAAGCTGCTTCTCTTCCGGGTTTTCTCCGGCCGGTGCCCAACCCAGTGTTCCTGTTCAGTTGCATCGACTGCCATGTTTTACATAATTCTGTAGTTTGGGATGGCAACATAAGTGGGGATTCTTGTCTGGTCGAGGAGTCACGAATTAATGCGCTTTTGGCTGGCTGCTACGTCCTCCTAACGCACCCAAGAGCTTCAAAGGAGGATGCAGCATGATGTGCATGACCCGCTGCAGGCACGGGCAGATCTCTTCGAGCTGCCGCTTCACTTCCGGCTGGTGCCCTCCCAGTGTTTGCGAAGTGCATGAGGGCTTGCAGGTTCGGAGGGTCTTTGTCAGAATGGTTTCAACTTCAGGTTTCATGTTTCAGGGTTAAGTGTCAGTTTCAGCTTTGATGTTTCAGGAATCGGTTGCAGTTTCAGGTTTGATGTTTCAGGGTTATAAGGAGGACCATCGTCCTCCTGTGATGTTCAAGTTGGATTTCCATGAGTTTCAGGTTGGATGTTTCTAGGAGGACTATTAGTCCTCCTATGATGCATGCATTGGATTCCGCAGGGGTTGCAGGCTGTATGCATGTGCATATATATAGGATGCATGGCACATGCATCCTGATTCCGCACCCCGTGAGCTTTTGCTATCAAGGGGCCCACCTAGCATTCAATTCGACCTCGCGATCGCCATGGGAGCCAATCAGAGCTCTGGCAACGGGGCCCAGGAGATCCTGGCTGCGGTCAACCGGCTTTCGACAGCAGTCGAAAGCCTGCAGCAGACGCCGCCCCCGGGTGCACCGGGGCCCAACACAGGGCCGTCGACCGTGCCAGCCCCACCCCCAGCCGTGTTCCCCCAGCCTGCTGCACCGGGGCCCAACACAGGGTCCGTGCCATTCCCCCCGATGCCACCGCCGTCGCAAAGCCATGACGACCAGAACCGTCTGCGGTACTGCAAGTTCTGCAAGCAGGTTAGCTACTGGCGGAAGGGCATCTGCCTCAACGAGTCCTGCCGTGTTCCTCGGAGGCATTTATTATAGCTGTTTCTCATGGTTTGGTTTTGTAACTATAATTTTAAAATCATCGAGCCCTGCAGTTGACGTACGTCGACGTGAAGGACTTGAATGTTGCGAAGACGTGGGCAGGGAGGGAGATCACCTCCAGCTCGGATATGGCATGGTACGTTCAGAACCGCAAGAAGAAGAACAAAGGTGGCTGGTGTTGCATTATGCATGCATGTTGATGTCTGTGCTATAGATGCTTCCATGCATGTTTGTGTGTGTCTCCAGCTGAGGTCTGAAACGCAAGGCTTGGTGGGCGGACCGCAACAATCGTTACTCCAAGGCCAAGGATGGCGAGGACTGGTCCAAGGCAAAGGGGGATGGCGACGAGGAAAATGAAGAGAAGGAAGATGAGGCACCGGATGCTCATCATGAACCCCTCCCGGGTTCGAAGGGCCCCGATGGCAGTGATCCTGACCCAGACAATAAGGGCCCAGGTTTTGGCGGTGCAGGCGGTGGATCATGTGGCGGTGCAGAAGGTGGATCAATGATCCCAATGCTGACTGTGTAATGCACAGGATCGAGGCACGATCGATCGTATGAGCATCGCGGGTCAAAAGACTCCTTAGGAGTTGCATGCTTTGCACTCCTGTTGGCTAAAGGAGTCTGCTGCATGCCTTGCATTCATGCACCATGGATGCATGCAGGTACATCTCCTACACAGCTCTGGAAAGGAGGCTCGCCCGGGTCTCCTGCACAAGAGCTTGGTCCCGGGATCTGTCAACATGTTTGTTTCAGCTGTAGGAGGAGAGTGCAATTGCTTGCAACATGCATGCAATGTATTCCTCCTGGATCTATATATATATATATATATATATATATTCTTTAAACCCTAAACCCTAAACCCTCAACCTTAAATGCTATTAAAGATACTACAAACATATCAATATATGTTAATTTATTTAGTGCATGTATATAGAATATATATATATATATATGTTACATCATATGCAAACAAGTGATATGCTTGCCTGACAATGGGTGGCGGCTGCTGTGGCAGCAGGAGGCAAACCTCCTAGTCTCCTGGATCGTCGAGGAGATTTAAATTATATGTATATATATATATATATATATACAAACCCGGATAACCGGAGTCAGAATGGCCCAGCCTGCCTGTTGCCGAGGTTGCAACGCCGAAGTCCGGAGGATCTTCGACCAGGCGCTTTTTGCCCGTTCCGATTTTTAATTTTTGAAAGAGTCAGAAATTTAACTCCATTTAACTGGGATTTAACTTCGTCTTCTTTTAAAGTAATTATGAATAGCCCAAGTTAAATGCCTAGTTAAATGGAGTTAAATCCCTACTTTTTTCCAATGTCTGCACTTATGCGTCGCCAGGACCACCACGACGGTGGTGATGCCGGAGGAGGCTGGATTTCGAGCTCTCCTGATGGGTCTCACCGCCGAGCAAAGGGCACTTATCGGGCGATTGTTGGTGGAGATAGACGGCCCAAGAGAGCCGTTTAATCCTGCTCCGGAAACCCCACCGCCCCCACCCCATGCTCAGGATCCTTGTCCACAGAAGTGTCACCAGTGCAGGGAGCAATGGTGCACTCGAGGCCTGGAGCCACACAAGCACCACAATTGCACCCGATGCTTCCGCAAGAGTCGCCGGGGCTAGAGGGCAAGATGGCATATCCATGGCATGTATATATAATATGCTATGAAGAAAAGGGAGCTGCAATTGCTGCATTTGCAAGTGACATGCATATTCAGGTGCTGCATTTGCTGCATTCCCCGTACCTAAAACTTGCCAGTGCTCAGATCTTTAGCTTAAAGTCTCACCCTTCTACAGGTACCAACTTTCTGAGGATGCTCGCAATAAGTATCATGGCGAGCCTCCTGCCCTTGACCGCTTTGGTCATGGGGGTTACCCGACACACGGCGAAGGCCAAGGCCAAAACCGGGGCGAGCAAGGCCAAGGCCAAGGCTAAGCCCACGGCAGCGAAGGCCAAAACGCAGCCGGTGCCCGTGACCGTGAAAGTCGAGCCGGGTGCTGAACAAGGCGACGCCTCTGAGAAGGCAAAGGACCCCGTCAAGGGCAAACTCAGCAACCTGGTAACACAATGCAAGAATGCAGTGAAGAAGTTGGAGGATCACGACAGCGGCAAAGCAACTCTCAGCGAAGAGGAAGTCGGCAAGCTCAGAAGCAAGAAGAAATTCTACGACGACTATTGCCAATTGCCTCGGAATGCCACCGAGCAAAGGATGCAAATGCTCTCCTCCTGGGAGCAAGACAAGACAGGGAAGATGTGGGCCGAGAAGATCCAGTCCCTGGAGAACGACAAGGCGACCACCGCCAGCAAGGTGGGTGGGTTCTTGTCTCGTGCCTTGGCCTTGCAAGTTGTTTCGAATACATGTGTGTTCATGTATATATATATATATATACATGCAACTAATCAATTGAAGTCCGCAGGAGTTCTCCGGAACTCCTAAGAACAATTCGCAAGAAAGCAGCCGAACAGATCGATTGGGCGATCAGGAGAGACTAAGTAAGTCTTAGCAATTAATACAAGGAGGTTGCAAGGTAGGTTCGTTGCAGCCTCCTTAATTGTTCTGGTGGGATTCCATGCACTTATTGCATCGATCTCGAGCATCTAGCCAACCATATGCATGCTCTCCTGGCTGTATACAAGAGGATGAAAAGGTTGCGGTGTGGGGTCAGAAGAAGTTTGTATATGTCTTTATAGATCGCATAGCTCTGTATCTACTGTAGTTTCTTGTTTTAGAGAATATATATGGAACATGCAGGCATACATAATAGGAGGATGGGCATGCTTGGCTTCTCACCCGAGGTTGGGAGATCGCCGACCAGGAGAACCTGAACCTTCAGATCCCCGAGCAGAAGAAGCTTTGGGAGTCCATCCTCGAGGAAATCCCCTATGATGAGGAATGGAACCAAGAGGATAATCGTGAGCGAGCCCTTGCAAAAGCCGGGGAACGTCGCTACCACTACGGCAAAACCAAGATGACAACGACAACGGACACAGTTCGTCACAAAGAGACGATGCAGGCCGGGTACAACCTGAACGACAAGGAGAAGAAGCAGGCCTTGCAGGACAGCCCCAATCAGCCTTCAATCGAGGTCCGGGATCCCCTTTTGGTTGCCTTGAGGCAAGAGCTGCAGACCATGAACTCCGGGAAAAAGGCTGTCGAGAGAAACCTGAGCACGATCAAGGATCTCCAGGTTTTCGCGAACACTAAGGGCCTGAGCAAGATGAAAGATGCTGCAGCAGATGCCCTCACACCACTCGACAACTTCCTGGTCACCTTGAGGGAGGACTTTGCAAAGCTCGATGCCCTGGACGTCGGGAGCGAGGAGTCGGTCCAGCAGGCCAAGGACATTAACACGCAGGCAGGTGTGCACGTGGATGCTGCTGGCAGAGTCATCAAGAAGTTGAAGACGATGAACGAGTGAAGGCAGTACTAGGTCTTGCTTATAAGGTTCCTGGTTTTTGAACAAAGGAGCGGCGGCATGCATGGACGATCGCTGCCAGGCAAAAAAAATCACCAGATTTTGCATGCACATGCTGCATGTGCACGGCTCGACCATGCACTGTCTTTGTGTACTTAATTGGTGTTCGCTGCAGCCGTTTGCCTCCAACTTTTATATAAGTTTTGTTTAATGATGCAACAAGCCCTCCGGCTCATCTGCAGGAGGTGGACCCTCCTCAGAACAAACCGAAAAATAAGCGATCTCCTCATATACAAAAGCCCAGCTCAGTCGCCAGGAGTCTTTGTTTAATTGACTCCTCATATCGGTTGCAGTCCAGAGCCATGTTGCCTTCGAAGAAGCACCAAACAGATTTGAAGGAGGTGGAAGCTTCAAAAAGGTTAAGAACACGCATCGGCAATTTGATGCTGAGCAATACCATTTCTGGTATCGAAGCTAGCCGCCTTTTTCGAGATGCGGACTTAGCCAATGCAGAAAATGTGAAGGATTTGGCTGCATGTGGCACCGGCCGAGCGGATGACATCCCTAAGAAAAGGGATCTGGTGCGCCGCCTTGGCATTAACCGGCATTGGCCGGATCCGTATTGGTGCATGCATGGCTCAACAAGTGGCAACCGAGGAGTGGGTGCCACTGTGGCTTCCCCATGAGCTGCTGCATGCACTGGAGTCCAAGGCTGCCGGCTTAAACACCATGAGGGATTTAAGCTGCATGGAGCCGGGCGAGGTGGCTCTGCTCCGCCAGTGCTGTGAGAAGGCTGGTTTGGAAGAGGGCTCTGCAGTGGCCCTGGGGATTTGGGGCGATGGGGTTCCGATCACTCGTGATCGTACCCAATCGGCGGAAGTCTTATCCCTCAACATTCTCAGCCACTCTCAGCGAGGTGCATTGCGATTTCCCTTAGCCTTGATGCAAAAGCATTTGATGTTGAAGGAGTTCACATGGGATGCTGTCCTGTCGATCATGGCCTGGTCCTTCGCTTTTCTCGCAGCAGGCATTTCGCCATCGAGTCGCCACGATGGGACGGCATGGTTGCCTAGCGACAAAGCAAGGAGGGCACGAAGCGGATTGCAACTACCCAGGGCATTCCTGATTCAAGTCCGAGGCGACTGGGCCTTCTACAAGCAGACGTTGTACATGCCGGCCTGGCCAGCAGCAGCTGCATTGGTTCGATGTTTTAAATTGCTTTAAGATTATTTGGCTTTTTAAATATAGGAGATAGGAGGGTCTCCTTTATGCTAGCCTCCTTTATAAAGGAGGCTCGCTTATACAAATGTTCATTTAAATTTAGATATGCTGGAAACGTAAATATATAGAGCTATTTTTTGGGTGATATGTTATAAGACATGCATGATCATAGACATCGATCGATGATATATTTTTCCATCTAAGGAACAGGAAAGATGGCTGCTGCTGGTTGTGCAACATCAAGCCCTCCGAGCTGCATATGGTGGCTCCTAACTCTCCCTGGATGCACAATCGCAAGTCGCACTGGGATGCCGTGTGCGAGATGCCCAGGAAGAGCCCTCTGCTGGGTTCTCCTTTTTTTTCGCTGGCAATGTGCCAGCTCGATTGGCTCCACATAGTGGACATCGGGGTGGCCCTCGAGTTTCAAGGAAGCTTATTTCACTACGTGTGCTTGAAGAAACTGCAAGGCAACCTGCAAGTGGCATGCCGTGAGCTGTTTTTCATGATCAAGGAATATTATTCCGCCAACAATGTCGGAAGCCAGTTGGGCGAACTGAAGCCCACTATGCTCAAGGGTAAAGGAAAACCATACCCAAAGCTTCGGGCGAAAGCGGCGGAGAGCCGAGCATTGGTGCCGTTCAGCGAGATCCTGGCCCAGGCCGTGCTAGTTCCCGAAGATCCCTTCGACAACGTGCTCATGAAAGCTGCCAGCTCCTTCGCTCGCTGCTACGATCAGCTTTCCAAGGACTCCTTTCAGCCGGCCACTTTGGCACAGGAGGCCTTCGAATTCGCTTCGAGATACGTGGATCTCAACAAGGAGGCGGAGAGACTAGGCATGAAGCTTTTCAAAATAAAGCCTAAGTTGCACATGTTTTTGGAATTGTCTTACTGCTGCACCTGCTCTCCTTCAGCGAACTGGTGCTACAGGGATGAGGATTTTGCTGGCAAGGTTGCAATGGCAGCTTTTCGGCGAGGCGGTGCCAACACCGTGCGAGCACTGGCAGAGTCTTACTTCTTACGCTGGAAATCCATGTATGCAGTTCCAGAATTGTGCTGATCCATCGGCTTCTCGATCTGCGAGTTGGGAAAAAGTCCGACTAATTCATGCACGCTCATGATATCACGAATATACTATTATTCGACACTTTATAAACATACTCATATTGTAGCATGCATGATCGATATATATATATATATATATATATATATATATATATATACACATTTCATGGCATGATCGCATGTGCATGGAGGCCCATGTGGTCTCCTCATTTCTAGAGGAGACCTGCCGGAAGACATCGATCTCCTAGCTGTGCACTTATAATATCACATGCATGCATGCATTTGCATGGATTTCTGCATGTCGGTCATGTTTAATATTCATGCATGCATACAATTATTTATATATATATTTAATAGTAAAACAAAACATAGCCATATATTCGACTTCCTCAGCACTGTCTGGGGGAACAAAACTATGCCCAAAAATTTGCAAAGCAAAAGAAAAGCAAGGGGAACATCAAGTCGTGCCTATCCTCGCCCTGCACACACGCCGTTGTCGCCCGAACCTTCCTTAATTTAGGATTGTGTGAATCTATTCTAAATAACGGGTGTCTGCCTTAATTAAAGCTTGCTTCCTTATATTTTAAGGACTATAGTGCTTAAATAAGGAGTATACTCCTTATTTGAGGAGTGTACTCCTTAATTAAAGCTTGTGAATAAGGACTATAGTCTTTAAAAAGTGGTCATTGCAACTTTTAAAGACTCTTGGGCCTTCTGGGTCACATGAACCTGGCTGTCACTCGCGTCGAGCCCGATGCGGTTACTCAGGGGTCTATGGCCATCTACATCCGCCCGCTTGCGCCGCGAGAAGGCGAGCACCCCTGGACTGTATATGTGAGTCAAGACTTAGCCGACGAAGGTTCGGCAGCAGAGGAGCCTGACGATGGTGCTGGTCTTGAGGCAGCTTCCGAGTCGGGCTCGAGGCGTTCGGTCCGCTTGCAAAAAGGTGGGCGGGGAGCGCTCTGCGGCCAGTGACTTGCCCTACGGATGTCCTTGCGGAAGCGGGCACTGGCTCCGATACTCTGCCTGCCCTCCCCGCACCCAAGCCGAAGAACAGGCGGAAGAGATTGCGGCCGGCTTAATGCAGCCGGACAGGGCACAGCAAACACTTGCTAGGCTGTAGCTATGTTTTTCGACAATGGCAGTGTGAGCCCTGGCGTGGCTCGCCCGTCTCGGTTGTCCGTGTTAATCACGAGGCTCTCGATCTTCTCGCGGTAGTGCAAACAATTGTCCGCCTTCTTTCAGGAGTTGGGGAGTGGTCTCGTGACTTCCTTCCCCCCCTGCTACCTCAGGCCGTCGCCGATGCATCGTAGTGGAGGGCTGCTGCCTACATACGTCGCCAGCCGGTTGTAATGGCCAGCGCCAATGGTGTGCCCACAGGTGGCGGCTACGAGGCGCGGGACTCCAGGCCGGCTCCTCGCATGAGCCACGGTCCCCCGGGAGGTCGCAAGGCACACAGGGAACACATCCCTTATGTATGCTGTACTCCAGGGTGTCACCGCTCCTTTTTTTTTACAAGGGCCGGCACCGCCACTGCTACTCCCTTGCAGTGTGGGTCAACACACTGACAGGTGCGAGCGCCACTACCTGCGGCTGTTGAGTCGGAAGCGGCGATCGGCTTTGTCTACATCCCGGGTTGCCCGAGAGTCGCTGGCCACCCGATGCTGTGCTCTCTGCGGAAGTACGAGAGGAGATGTGCATACCCCGCAATGTGAGCAGCGCCAGCGCCAATTGGCCGGCCTGGGTGCAAACAGCCTGGCGCCTCTACCCGACGAAGCGGAGCGCGGCACCGCCCCTGGGATGGCGCGAGCCCGGGCTCGGTGGTGGTTTAGTGCGCCGTCCTATGCCGCCCACATGGTCTCGAGCTCGGGCGAGGTGGCGCACTGAGCGCCTTGGGTGGGGCACTTCACCCTCGGCTCCTCTTGCAGCGGTTTGTGTGTTGACTGGCCCCGACTGCGGACCGCCGATGCAGACCTTCTACCCGGTTGGGCCCGCTTCTGCCCTGGCCCGACAAGCCACGACCTCCGTCAGATCGATTGACTTAGGGGAAATGGACTGAGACTCTGGAGCCTCGGGTGCCGGCGTACCAGTGGCAAATGATGTGCAGTCTCGCATGATCTGGTGCCTTAGCCTCTTTGCCAAGAACCGTTTGGGCACACCGAGGTCCTTCGCTGTCGCGCTGTCCGTGCACGGGCCTCAGGTTTCCCCCTCTCTTCACGCCGCAGCTCGGGATTGCACGCGGTCGCTGGCTGTCGGCCTATGCGAGGAGACCGTTCTTGCGCCAAGCCCGGAGGTCGGAGGCGGCAGGGCGCTGAGAGCGAGACTGACATCCGCCGCAAAAAAAAGGTGTGCGGGTCGCTTGTGTGGCAACGGCATTTTGTTCACCATGTTGCTCGAACGTGCGTCTGTCGTGCGGGCTGCTAGCACGTCGACATACGTCGATGTACATTTTGTAACCCCGCCGCGTCCCTTCTTCGCCCAGCCTCATGGCTGGCTTGTGGACTGAGATGCCTGCCAACGTCAATATTCCAGGCTTTGACATGTTTCAGATTACCTCTTCGATGGACATCGACCCACTCTTTGTCACTTTCGCGCTGACCCTGGCGTCACAGCGGGGAGCGAACTGTGTGGTCTTCGAAGCGCGCATTCGCCGTGCGTGGGTGAAATTCCTGCCTGATGATCCCAGGGGTGAGGACGCCGTCTCCCGCACGAGACATGACGCAGCCATGTGGCACGGCTACCAGGCCTTCGTCCGCGAGGGCACCGAGTGTGCCGGGTTACCCGACAAGGGCTTACCTACTTCATCCCTTATTCCGGTATCACGAGGGTGGGAGATCGGGTGTGTCCACACCCCGGTCGCCTCACGCCGGCGGCTATTGCGGTGGATTTCCTCCACCAGTCTGCGTCCCATAGCGAAGCGATCCTGTGCTACCTCAACCGTCTGTCGGCAGTCGGCGCAATACTTGCGCCGGCCAATACAGCTATGCAAGCTGAAGGCCTGGCCCCTATCAACGGGGTTTGCTTGAACTTAGCCCTGGTCGCATCCACCCGCTTGCTCGCCGATTTTTACCTGCTTATCACCGCCGTCAGGTATCCGCAATCCAATGTCTTGCACAAGGCCTCTGAAGCCTCTCCGTGCCCGATTACCATTGGAGAATTGGCGGCAGACACCCCCGCGCGGAGACTGCAACGAATCGCGGCCGATGGCTCTCATCAGCCGGGAGTGTATACTTCGTTCGGCTGCCGAAGCAGGCGTCTTCGGCCACGCAACAGGGGAGCTTGGTGGAATGGCTTTGTGTCCTGTTGGTCTTGGCTTACAATGTGTGCGGACATCGGTTTGCTGTTCAGGCAGGACGGAAAATCACTGTCGTCACGCCGACCACTAGGGTTTTTGATTCCTTAAAGCATGGCCTCGGCCTCAGCAATGCGCGCCCCGCCAATGCCGACACTGGTGATGCACACAGGGTTACGGCAGAGGGCACCTCATTTGCTGAGTTCATTGCGGAATGGTTGCCGGAACTCCCTCCCCCGGGACAGCTAGCCACTGTGGAGCAGGCCGCATCCCTCTTCACCTTTTTTTATAACCATCACAACGAATTGGGCGCCTTTGTTGACCTCTTCACCACCACAGTGTGTGCTGGAACCACGGGTGCGGTTGACATCTGCCTTATTGACAAGGCTGGGCGCTTTACCATGTCTGAAGAGGACGCCCACCAACGGCTCACGGCAGGCAGTACGCGACCCACTGGCCCATTGATCATTGCCTCCCCTTCCCATTGGTCCTCCATCACACCCACGTCCGCTGGGAGGAGCTTTACCAGACCTACGGGCTAGCTCGGCTTGGACTTCAAAACCCGCAGCGCGAGGATCGGGAGACTGCCAGTGAATTCTATGAACGGTGGTCGGTGAACCGCATTCCTCCGCTCTGTGATGCTACAGCAGTCGCTGCACATTGCGGCATGGACGGCTACCCGGTCCAGCTACTCCTCCGGGGTGTGGATTTTGAGCACAGCGGACCTAGTGGCCAATCCATCACGGCACGCCCGTTCTATCCGGTGATTGACACCGATCGCCCAGTCTTCGGCCTGCTATAGAGTTTACTGCACCGCCGCGGTTTGGTCTCCACCGTCTTCGTGAGCACAAGGGGGTGGGAGTGCCTCCCCCCAAAAGACTATACAGTGCGCTCCGTTCCACTCACCATCGGTCTCTCATAGGGGCGCACATGTATTTTGACCCGCCAGCGACTGTGTGGCCAAACCGGCTCCGCGGAATCGCTGGTGGCCGCTGTGCCGGGGGCATTCTACCTTTATTCCATCGCTTCTGATACGGTTAACACGACACTGCTAGGGAAATTTGCAGCGTTTCGTGTCGTCACAGGTACGTCACTCTAGCTCCGGATCCGTTATGTTGCCACCGATTGCTACTACGGGCCTACCACGCGCCCTCTACGATCCGACGGGAAAGGTTCGTCCGGACCCGGAGGCCGGCGCACCTGCAAAGGAGGATCCTGCGTTGACCGCGGAGTTGCGCAGTCAAAGTTGCGCTGCCTCCCTTCCTGCCGCTACATGGAGCCAACGTGTGGCGGCCCTGTTGAATGCCGTGGAGACTCCGCCTAGTCGCTTAGTGCCTGGAGTTACAGCCATTGCTAGCCGGTGTGTACCGGCAGAAGACGAGGACGACTTCGAGGAGCAGCATGATACTCTCCGGCGCTACCAAGCCCGGGGCAGGCAACAGCGGCCTGTCGAGGGAATTGACTGCGCTAGTGCGCTACAACAATTACTGCCCAACCCCACCGATTGCCTTACCTTGCTTTCCCTCCCCTTGTCCCTGCCCGCTTGTGAAGTCAAACTCAGCCCGCAGAATTTTGGGGTGGTTGATTTCGCTGACAGGGCACTCATGTTACGGCGCTGTACTGATGGCGAAGCTTTTCGCGTCTGTCTGACACCCATGCTGGCAGTGTCCGTCGCACTGGCACAGTTTTGCGACCCAGTTCTG